TCTTATTTTGACCCCGAAATACAATAATAAAATTTAATTAATGCCTAAAGTTCTGTCAATCAACATAATTTTACTATTAAATGAATGTAAATATACTAAAGATTTTATACAGTGTAAATATGTGAAGTGTGTATGGAAATCGTAAACTCATGGCATACGCTACCATCGACTCACATAAAAATCCACTCTTTAGATACGAACTAAATTAGATATTGTATATTGTTTGTGCTACGATTTTAAAAAGCTATATAAATGCTATAAAATCTACATGTCAGTTGATTATTGTAGCGCCTTAAATCAAAGCGATCACAGCAGGTGATTCCAAATGTGATGATATTCAAAAAAAAATAACTTTTTTTTATAATTTTTATATATTTTATATGAACTTGCTAAATTTATTTTTTACACCGGCGTGCGTTAAATAGTTAAAAAGTCATAAAAACCCAATAATTCTCCTTTGTAGTCCCACACTTACTGCGTTGTGGATCCCCAGAAAATTTATATAAAAGTTATAGTCAAAATTATATAGTCGATTTTTAAAATTTAAATTGAAATTTTACTGCTACACAAAAGTCATTAAATCCCAAATATTTTATATAAAATTTAAAAATATTTGTTTTTATTATAGACAAATCCACACATTTTTAGTATTTTACTATGTACTAAAAATGTTTATCAAATGATTAAGTATTTTTAAAGGTGGTCTTCTCTCAAATGGTCTGATAATTGATTTTTATGGATTTTTAAGCAAATACAGGATTTGAATATTTTTGAAAAGAAAGCTTAGAACTTATACGAGTATGTAAGAGGAGTGAGCCAAATTTTAATCAATATATATTTATTTATATATATTTTATAAAGAGGTTTTTTTGAACAGTAGTGAAATACAACAACAAGAATTTTTATTTTTTATATTATTTGAATTAATTGAATTTTTGGCTAACCATACAGCTTTTTCGAGTATTGCCAAATACATCAGTGGTCTTGGAAATAATTCTTGTATTTAATTATTCGTAACTAATTATTTTTTGAGACTGCAAGTACCAGGAATCGAACTCGGGTCCTGCTAAATATGAAGCTCAGAATCAGCGCACCTTAACCAATTGATCCAAAGCCGTACTTGACTTTTTTTTTTTCTTTTTTGATCGCATATTTTTCTGGAGTTTTGTTCCTATTACTATGAAAGTTTTTATTAACAATGTTACTTGCTGTGTTTATATTAGAACGAAATCATAAACCAGCTGTAGAATAATTGAATTAATTAATTAATTATAATTTTGTTTTCAATTGTTAAATTTCAATACTATTCTGTTCGTAGAGGCATTATTTGTTGCATGTTTTGTTCTTTCTTATATATAGAAACTAATTTAAGAACGCTGAGATGCTGAGAAAGTCATGCTAATATAGCCCATTAGTCGCACGGGCTATATATTTTTTTATTTATATTTATTTTATTTATTTATATTGATTTACATAATTTAATACATTTCTAATATAACTACAAACGAGAGATAAAAATTTGCAATGAAAATTACTAACTGATCGTAAGATAGTAGTTAAAAAAGAACCATTATCTGTAATTATGGCCTCTTGTTTTTAATTGGAAGTGCCATTGATCTATTATTTTTCAGTTTCATGTCTATTAAGTAGCTCTCTTGGTATAGCTAACGGACATTTATATATCAGCTGCTGACATTGGTTCAATATTTTTTTAGATAATTCTGTTAAGCTTTTTAGAACACTTGTATTACAATCAGGCACCAGTTCCGCTCTATTAGTTTCTAAATATATATTATAAGAATCTGTAAAGTATCTGTAACATATTTTTTGAAAAATACGTATAAAAGATACTACCAATAGTATTGTTAGTTGGTAGTACTGTACTAGATTACATTGTGAGATTTACGTATCATACTAAGTCTTCCTGCCAGCTGTTCTTACGATTATATTTACGAGTGTGTTGCGATATTTACGATGCAAAATTGGTTACATGAATTGTTTGCCTTAAATCTTGTGTGTCACACAAAATCTCGTATGCCAGATCATTAAAAATCTTGCAGAAGACTTACGATGAATCATATAGTTCAAAAATAGATTAGATGCTACAATGCAATTTAAAAAAACAAAAACAAAAACCGTTGATTTTGTTCAATTGGACGTCAAAACAGAAAATATCGACAAATGAGACTTCGAGGATTGGATCACGAAGTGAACATGTCAGTAAAGTACTAGAAAAGTCTGTAGCATTAGTACTGAAAGGATTTAATTTTGTACAAAAAACATTAGGAGCCGATTGGTGAAGACCTGAAACACAACATTACTGACAGCAACTTTAGAAATGTTGCTACGATTCTCAAAAAACTATATTCAAGTGAGTCAAAAATCAAGGTCTTGTTTATAACCGTGGTATCGTGCACTAGAATTTTCACTAGAAAATAAAACAAACAGTGAATAGAAAAACTATTTAGTAGTACTAAAGCATTGTTATTAAAATATTTATTAAAAGTGGTATATATATATGGGTGCGGTATTGTATGCGAAAACCGACAGGCTGCCCTACTTAGCACTAATATATCTAATCTCAAAGTAATCACTAACCGCACGAGACGGTATGCAGATCTTAGATCAGTCATAAAATAATTACGATGCTTATGAGGAATACACAAATTAGTCAGTGAGATGGGTGGGACTCTGCAGTAACCCCCTAGGTATTAAAGAGTAAAAACGCCTAGATGCATTAACTCAAAAATGCTCAACATTAGGTTATTGTATACATCTATTTTTAAAAAGATTTTTGACCAAAAAAGCTCGAGTCAGTCCTTAAAAGAAATTTTAGTAAAGGTCTTGAAAGTCATACTTGAATCAGACTTTGAAAAACGTATAAAGGATTAGGTTAATCACTAGTGTAGAATTGTATGCTCGCAATTAGGACACGTTTTTAATTAATATTTCAGATATTTTTTGTTTTTATCTTTCTAATAATAAATTAATATTTCATTCATAGTGTGATTATCATTTACAATAGATTATCTTGGCTACAGTTTGATTTATATTTTTATAAAACATTCAATGCAATTAAAGCTTGTAGATTATTGGAATTTAAGAACTTACTTCTAGGTGCTTAATAACATTTTTATTACTACTTCTGTGCTAGTACTAATAATTTTGGAGGCAGATAAATAATCTGGTGACGGTGCCATCATATTTTGAGTGGGTTCTTATGTTATCGCAGTGATTGCATATAGTAATTACTAAGTATTAAATTTGCTCTAGGACTCATTTGTTTCACAAGCTCTTTTATATATTGTATAAAGGTTAGGTTATGCTGGCAGACTAAAAATGCCACGTTAAGACTATTAAGGTCCATTGCGATACCAGATCAGAGTCTTAATTTTTTAAGCGATAGTATGCATCACTTAGGATGCATGTGTTGTATTGTGTGAAAGATTTTTTAAAAATTTCTTCTTATTCTTAGTATCCGTTTCCCCTGGTGGGGCATAGTGGGGCATTTACTTATATAAGAACTCGGAATATTTTATCTCATAAGCAAGCACTTTGCATTTCTTTTGCTGTCATTACCTTTATGACAACTTAATTTGTTTATTTTTAATTTATATATAATAATTTTTAAAATTGCAAATTATTTGCTGGTTGAATAGTTAGTATTCTTGGTCTTATTATTATTTTGAACACTACGAGTATTTATTGGACTTTTAAACGCACGACTTTTCTGTTTCTTTTTTTTTATGGAAGAACGTGCAAGTCTTATAAATGACTAGAAATATCTTTGTACTTTCCAAAAAAGCCGCGGGCATGTATTTATAAATTAACTAATCAGTTTTAAATTTTATTATCATTGTTAAATGTCCGCAAAATTACTTTTGTAGGCAATTGAAATGCCAAACGTGTTGGCAGCAGAATTGTCATTTGTGACAATTGCAAAAACATAAATAATCGTCAAAAAAATGTAAAACGATAAATGTATGGTATATAGATAATTTGCATTTAATTCATTCATATAATTTATTTTATTTTGATTATTTGTTTTTTGTTTTATATCAATTATAATTTATTTAAAACTACTAATAAAATAAATAAACAATTTTTTCATATTTTGTGCTAAATTAATTTAACTAAATTCGCAAAATTAATAAAAATAATTAAGCCAAAAAAATAATTTTTGCTTAAATACAGATAACAATTTTATGTGACGTATACATTTGTAAGCACCTAAATTTATTTTACATTTAAAAGATATTTTATTCAATATTAAATATATGTATTTTAATTAATAATAATTTTAATTCAATCAGTGGATATTATTTTTTTGTTTTGAATTTAAAAATTATTCGTTGCATGGCGATTTAACTTAAATTGTTAATTTCCTAAAATTAATTTTTTGAAGTAATTTTATTTTTAAATTTAAAAACTTAAACTTAAATATTATCCTTAAATTATTCACTGGTTTAAAACAAGCGTACAAAATCTATTAAACAAATACAAATAAAATTTAATTTATATTTATATTTAATCTTATTAATATAATCTCTTTCACAGTTATATAATTTTTTTTAAATTTTAGGTTTAAATATATCCCTCATCTTAAGTTACGATTATAGTTTTTGTTGGACATAAAGAGATTTAAAATAATACAAAAAAAATTTTTCGCAACCAAATTAATTGAAATTATAAGTAATTCAAAAAAATAAAAAAATTAAATTTAATCTTCTTTTTATTAATCAACAATTTCCTAATAAAACATTTTGTTAAGAAAATATTTAAAGTTATTTAATTTTACTTTAAATAATTATCAATTAGTTGTTGAATTTAAACTATTAAGCATATATTTATTATATCTGTTAATTTTTTTGTATTAGCTTACAATTTATTATTTTAACTATTGATCTTGCTACGTTTTAGATCCGGCACAAGTTCTGTTATTTCTTTATTAAAATGCTTATATTACCAACAACACACACTGAATTATTTTTTTTTTTTTATTAATAATAGTAATTAATATGCAAAATCATAGTAAAAGTATAAAAATTTAATAGCTTTTTTTTGTAATTTATTTCCAGCTTAATTACATTAATAATTACAATTCTTCTAAGCAGCGTACGTTGGTTAGCATAATTCGTGTGAGACGCCACACTTGCTTGGCAGCATTTTCTAGAGCACCCGGTGATTTACCCTTAAATAAATCCATATTTGGTAGAAAATAGTGCGGACAGCGTCGGCATTGTAGGCAGGAAATTAACTGTAAAAAAATACCATTTATCCGATCAGCAATGCAATTCTCCTCCCACTCCATTTCACGCGGATGTTTTTCACATTCATATAAGAGCAATGTTTTTAGATGATACGATGTGACAGGATTACCAGGTAAGTCCAAATGTCTATCACGCAGGGTTTTTAATATGCTTAAGCAACGACGACGACTGGCACCTAAAATTAAAAGAAGAATGGGGAATGAAAATTAATTATATAAAATAATTTCAGTTTATTAATATTTAAATGCTTAATAGTGCTGTTTGTTCGTTTGAATTTGAATTAAAAGTAATTAATATTCTTAAGTATATATTTTGTGCCAAACTAAGTAACAGAAATTTTTGGAATAACTGTCAAAGTATATCTTGCAAAACACTATAAGCTTTTATGTGACATCTAAAAGTTCTTTTTCTTTTCTATCTGCTCGCCAATAACTTTCCCTTCTCTAAAGTTTCAAAAACTAAATACATATGGTAACTAGATTTTCATGCTTTAACACAGCACAATTTCGAAACAAATTATTTCTTCCCTTTTTGATGATCTGGTTTACGATTCCTCCACTCTTCTTAGTAATCTTCTTAGTAAGAAAACTACATAGCTTCATAAAAAAACTCTCGGCATACACGACAGCATATCAAAAGCGGAATAGTCCCGTAAACTTTAGAAATGAGTTGGTGTAGGTGACCAATACAATTTTAAAAACATGGAATTCTATCTACTTCAATAGTTTTTAAAAGTTTTTAAAACATTTTTTAAAAATGCAATGATTCTGAGTACGCGAAAATGGAACAGAAAACGATCCTGTTGAATATAGGATTGTAGTGTAAAATACAGTAATATATTATATGGTATATATAATATAATATAAAATGTTATAATATAATATATTATAAGTTATGTTTACAAATATATATTAAATTATTTTCGTGATATATTGTTTTCAGCATTGATATAAACTTATCGTCTGTATGTTTAAAGCGTAAACTTGGTCCACGGAATTAATGAAAAATTATTTCTAAACCTTAAAATCACTAAAAAAAACTCAGATAGATATCTATCTGTCTAGTAAGTTGGTAAATTCTTTCTGATTCATTCTGCAAATGATTAGAGACATGGATTAACTATCACGTTTTAATAACTACTAAAAATATGGTTAACTAATGTTGTTAGAATATGTAGGTATATATGAAGTAACTCTGGAATGAGGTGCTTCTAAGTTTGCTTGATTGAGGTTAGACAGATATGGCTAACTAATGTCATTAGAATATGTATATGTGAAGTAACTCTGTAAGACTGCAAGACTACATACAGAAATAGTGCTGTTGAAAAGTACTACGGTTTAATAATTTAACTTAAATTATAGTTTTTCCGGAGAAATACTGAAAATTAAAGCTGATTATCCGTATGTAAGAGATAAATGGCCATACCACGTAATGGACATATAAAATCATATCTTACGAATAAATTAAAGTTAATTATCTGTGCATTAAAGATAATTATGTAGATTATGTAGTTATGGAAATATCATTAAGAAATTAAATATCTTTTTCAGTACATGTAAATTCATTGGTGATTTGAAAGGTGTTTTAAAGTGTTAAAAGAGAGGATTCAGTTTGAGCACTTAAATTATTTCCAATATTTCAAATTTGATTTCGGCAGATTTTGGATTTATGATTCCACATCACAGTGGAATAGAATACATTATAAACACCGTATTGATTCTCAGCTACTAATCGAGCTCAATTGAACAGAGGAAAGGGGAATCGAAAATAACAATTGACCGAAAATTTCAGCAAAAAAAATTTTTTTCTTGGCATAAATTAAATGATCAATCACAGAGAATGTAATTAGATATCTAATCCGTTAACAAGCAGAGTTAATATTTTGTTTTTTAAAACAAACCCATTTTGTAAGTTGATAATATTGGCCCAACAAATAACCAACCAAGAATGTTCGTTTAATTCTATTGAAAAGGGATACCATACCATGATTGTAAGGACTAATTAGCTCCTTAACTTGTCGGTGACTTGTAGCGAAACCAATCCTCAATAGATATTAGGGTTTTTTTTTCAATAGTATGATCACAACTCGTCGGGTAACCATTCTTCCAGACCTAAACATAGTACATGTATAATGTAAGAAAAAATGTTTTCGCATGTACAATTTAATGTATGCAATAGCTGGACCTGTTATAGTGATAATGTTAATGTTTATAAAACTTCTAATATATATTAATGCCGTTTTATTTTCAAAATTACTTTAAAAGTTATTAAACTTCTTGACCTATAGAACTGTACTTTATATCTTTTTATTATAATTAAAGTTGGTATTTGGAAAAATGAGATGAATGTTGTCTCAAATGGACTAGGCAGACTCTAACAATCTTCCGTAGTTCAATCAATTCGTTCGAGTTAACAAAAAAAGAAATGGTGGGTTTGTCTTATCACTGATTTTTTAACTATTATATTTTCAAAGATTGGACTAAAGTAAATAGACACCAGCAAATTATCTGTTTGTGCCCTGTGATTGTTTAATAATCAGTTTATAACGTTCATTCAATTTTTATTGAATGGAATAAAGTCTAGGATTTATTAAACGCATATGTGCATAAAAATATATTTACAAAAATTTTTTCTGAAATTTTAATTCTCAATTTGTATAAATCATTTACGTACCTATTTTAGTTAGTTATTATTTTAATTATAATTCTCATATGGTTAATGTGCATTCTTTTATAAATGCTCTTATAATATGTCTGTGTACTATTTGTTACTTTAATATATATATATATGTTTTCGTTTTATTACAACCTATCAATGTTTTGATTTACTGAGCACAACAAAAGGTGTGTAGTTATAGATAGTGTTGATAGGACTTTAAACAAGAAAAAGCTGCATAATTACCATAAAAGGTAATTTATAAACCAACATAATTTAGTGGTTTTATCCGCGCCCTTCATCTATCCGGGTTAACTTAGGAGACTATATTCTAATAGTAGTAAGTGTGATATTATGATATAAAAAAGTACTGGAATATATTTCGAGGAGTATTGAGAGATTCAATGTATTCAACTATTATATATATTCTTGCAGTTCTTTAATACTGTTGTTAACCTAGTAGTAGATAATCTACTAATAGATAAACGTGTAGCTTTTATTGTGTTGTAATAGGATATCTTTTCTTTTAAGAGGCTGTACTTTCAAGATCTTACAAAAGAATTAATATGGAATTTTTTGTAAATCGTTTTATATTAAATCTAAATTATATTATATTTAATATTAATATTGATATTGATATTAATAGAGATGTGCAAATATTTATATTAATAACTAAAGTATTTTTTATTATATATACAGTTTTTTAAATGCCATATATTACTCTTAAATAAATTTTTAAATAAGGGGGGAGAACTATAAATAAACTTTGTGCCATTAGGTGCCTTCGACAACTATTTTAAATAATAATTATTAAGACTATTTAAACTACTTTGTTAAATTCTAAATAGTTCACTTAATAATTAATTCTATTTTTCTTTTCATTAAGTATTTATTTATAATTATCGACTTGCTTTGTGTGACAAATCTGGTTATGAAATAAATTATTGTCAATATTGAGTTCTTAGCATTAAATGGAACCAGTGTACAAACAAAAATTTGACAGCCAATATTAAATTGTTGTGATATATAGTATATATAATATTTTTTCCAAAAAAATTAAAATCACTGAAAATTTTGGACAGACAATCGAACAATTTGTTTGCAGTTATGTGTAGTATTTATTTTTATCTAATCGCTTAGATTAAAATTATTTATTAAATTGAACATATGTCTTAAGCGGTTTTACTGCTTGAACAGATATTAATTTATGATCGAAACGCGGAATATCTTAATTGATATCTGATGAAGACGGTATCTGTAATGACAACCGACAAACAAGTTTCGTATTATTTATGCATAAGAAAAATATTTGAAAAAAAAATATCTTTGAAGTAAGCCCCGTAGCAGCAAATAATCTTTCGACTGAAACTTTACTTTAGCTTTAAGATTTATAGCAAAGTTAAGTGAAATTGTTGTTAAATTGTATAGAAATAATTATTATCATTATATATTTATGCAATTAAATAAATCAACAGTAGAATAATAATACGACTATGCATATAATAAATGCTTTTTATTTTTTAAATTAGATATAATTAAATTTAATTCAACTCATATTAATAGCACTTCATATCAATTTGCAAAAACATCAAACTTTTAAAGTCGAAAAAAATGTGTTCACATTCGCAAATCACAATTATTAATGTCAGTTGATCGATCATATGTCCCATTAAATTAATATTCGCAAACATGATTATTAGTATCATTTGATCGGTCATATGTTCCATAGAATTGAAATGAGAAAATATGTGAACCAATTAATATGTACTAAATATAGCCTAGAACCGCTGAAATATCAATGAAATGCTAAGCTACGGCATATTTTGGGAAATTATCGGTGATTGTGTACGCAATCGTATCAGTGTTCATTCAGATATCACTTAATTTATAGGTCATTATATCAATCGTCATTAAGGCGTTCCAATAAATCAGTTAAATTTTGGGCAAAAATCACTGATTACTTCTCGACACTTTGGTTTAAATGAGTTTATCGGTCGCTTTTAAATTTATGACTAAATTTTATTTAATTTTTTGTTTAATTTTTTTTTTTTTGCATATTTAAGTTTTGTTATTATTTTTGTTTTAATACGTTGAAGTCATAGCCGTTTTTAAATAATCTAAATTAAAAATAAAAATACTAGAAGCTGATTGGGATTCCACAATTCACACAGGAATAAATAAAAATATTAGTTCATTTAAGTACTAAGAAGTTTGCGTGATTTCCTGCGTTGAAAATTGTTAATATTTAAAATTAAAAATTTTTTTTTTAATTTTATCTGTTATAAGTTTTAAATAATAATTACAGTAAAATAATTATTCAGTTTTGTCTTTTTAACAAGACCGGTGAAGTACCAAAGTGTAATCGAGAATGATATATGTTATATATTTTTAAATTTTCTCTTAATTAATTAATTTTCTTAATTTCAATTCAAAACAAAAATCACTTAATTTATATCTCAGATATCAGTAATCATGTATTTGTAAAATTATTATTATTAGTAGTAACAATGGTATGACCTATAATATCTAATATATTATTTCTTAAAAGAGTGTCTTGAGTTAAACCGGGCAAGTTAAGGCTATTAAACAAACCTAACAGTTTTTTTTTTTGAATCAAGTTGACAGACCTTATTTAGTTCAATAAAAGCCATAAGAAAATACTAATTTCATTACCTGCACGAGTACCTGAGATGGATGGAAGTTTTTCCTGCATTTTACAGTATCTACGGGTATCGGTGCTTTTTAATCTAAACTTTGGATATATTCAGAAAATATGAAATACTGAACACAAGGGAATCAGTGAAGCTTTTATGCCAATATTTAGCAATATGTATATATTTTGATAACTATATATCTAGATATTATCTAGTAATATTATCTGCTAACATCTAACATTTATGAAACTAGCTCAAAAATAAATAATAAAAAAATAATAAATAATTATAATAATGAATACTAACGACTCAAGCGATCGCTCAGAGGTTTAAATGGCACCATAGTAAAAAGCTGGCAGACTGCAAAGGAGCCGTTTTAGAACGTGTCAATTTTCTTTGAGTTGGCAACGATGGTATCTTTGTAAATGGCTGTTTTTCAATTTATTGAAAGTTAGCAGTTGAGTAGAATAGAGTTGAGAAATAGGGAAGTATAGACTATAGTAACAGAAAATTTGAAATTCTTCTATAAATCAATACTTCAAAAACTTCCAGTAGAGACGTATTGATCGCACATATCATTATATGAAATGAATTTTTAATTGAGTGTTCAAATCAGGATTTCATATAATTATTAGTTCTTAAGTTGACTACATTATGTACACCTTACGCTACAATATATTATGAAGTATACTCCATGGGATATCATAAGCAAGCCAAAGTTCTTCAGAACTACGTCTGATTGATTGTTTTCCATTTTAATCCACATTTTAATTTACAAACGCCGTTATTTTTTGCAGTGTTTACATTTTGGTCGAGTTGAGTTGTTAACATTATTACTATTTTTAACCTTAAAGTTTCAATTATATTACGAATAGTAAGCTCTTTTGCTCTATTATGAATATAGAATGCACGAAAAAGAGCCCAAATAGATTTATTAATTTGATAATAAGTATTATTAATTTCTCACAAATAAACAATATAATGTTCATACAAATTTTATTAAACTGCATTTATAGTTTGTTAGTTTAAAATATTTATTGATAAATACTTTAAGTTCGTTTATACTTTAAAATAATACTTTAAAATTCTTGAGATCAGAGATATAATAATTTTTGGAATTTCTGTTTTTGTTCTATAAGCGATAAGTTAAATATAATTTTGTCCCCTAGTAACTTGTATGTTTACCATAAATATCACTATATATCACATCAAAGGTATGCCTCACAATACGTATACAGTGACGTCCTGAGTCATACTAGTTATAAAAATGATTACAAAACACTACGAAAAAATTATTTCTTTTCGTGTCGCATAATTTTTAATGATGATAGTGCTTAAGTATATGCAAAAAATATATATTGAAATAACTGCAAATGATATAAAAATTAAAACTGGTCAAATGCATGTTTACTAATTAACTTCTGTATTACTTTTAAACTAGTCAATAAACAACTCATTAAGTAGTTTGTTGATGGTAACTCGTTCTGTGAATATTACAAAGTGTAATATACCAAATCACAGTATTTAGTTTTTTTATAGATAATTTACTTCATTTGCAACTGAGTATATTTGAAAACTTAATAGAGCATAATGCTTTATCATTAAAAATATTTTATGCTATGTTACCTAAAGAAACTTATTCTTATTTTACACAATTTTTGTGTAGTTTGGACTTTATATGGATGATCAAGTTAAAAATCCAGTTCTTAAATATATAAAAAGTTATTTTAATATCAGTAAAAAGAACTTTACTCATGAATATCTTATAAAAATATTTAATCCAATTAAATTAGATTTAAATACATCTATTTTAAAAAAAACTTTAACGATATAGAATCTTAGCATGAAACTTTTTCGCTATACCTTATTTATTGTAAGATCTATAGGCTATCACTTTTCTAGGCAACATTTGTATATCCATACATATGTATATTCAAACGAAAATAGCATTGACAGCACACCCTATTTTTATTTATATGAATAGTCCAGCTTTGCTAGCATAATATTTATTTATGTTAGATTTAGAGTTGGCAGTTCTTTGTACATATATAATACTTCTTCTCCGATTTTTTGTTATCAGTAATGTTGCGTTTCATGAAAATCAACATATTCAAAACACATTCCAAACCCAAACGAATATATTTTAGAAAAAGATAACGTTCCAGGTCTTTCTTGAACTGAAATTAATGTCATCAAGAACTATATCATTTTGTTCTTTATAGAGCAGTAACGATCTTTATGAATGAGATATGACTCAAATTCGAACTATTAAATATCCAAAAAACGTTACGGTCATGATCTATCTTAAACTGGAATGATTTCAACTATAACGCTCATTTCTATAATGTTTTTATCGATTTAAGAAGAAGAAAAGAACGCTCTTATTAAATGGTAGGTATTACTCGCAAGATCGCACGTCTTCAACATAATGTTATAAACTTATGACATCTATCAATTCTTAGCACTAGGGACCGATTAAAAATATTTATGATAAGGTTGACTGTGGTTGATGTTTTGCTTAGTAATATGTGATTTGCATAACGGAAATATAAGTATTTTGTTGAAAATATAAACGAAATAAATCAATATTAATCTATGCATCTCTGCAATTATCTTGTAGTTTATAGAGTTGAAGATGTATTAATATTAAATAATATGTTTTTAGCGAAAATGGACACGTAGTAGTGTTGAGAAATGGAATAGGGGTTTGAGGGACTGAAGGCCTCCCTATAATGAATCGAATGATTGCATTTATGCATATGCATATTAATTGTTATTGCATTATGATAATTTAACAAGATAAAAATTATATTTTTAAATCTTGGGAATTATCTGAAAGCGTGTCCCGAAGTACATTCTTAGCTAAGGGCCTAGAACGATATATACAAATTATTAAATACTATATTTTATTTTATACTAGAAGTAAATAATGAGAGTAAGTTTAAAAAGCTCACAAAATTAAAGCAATATGGGTTGTATAATTGGTGACCAATATCGATATGTTCAAGATAACATACTAGTTGTTCATAAAAATTATATACTTTTCTGCCGTTTCTTCTTCGAAACCCATTCACTTGTTAACAAAAGCTATACTGTCTGTATTTAAGATTTAAGATTTTTAATCTGTCTAAGATTTAAAATTTAGAGCTGTACGACTATTTAGTGTCATATCATATTCAATCATTCTTCTGCTTCTAAAAAAATATTAAATCTATACTTTTAAATTAGTTAACATAAGTTTTGTGATACACTAGTACTTCAAAATATACTCAAATATCTATTCCAATTTTCAATAGCCGCGCTAAATTCTTTTTAGAAAACCTTTCTCTAAAGATACAAGTAGTTTGTCTTAAGAGTTTCTTTTTCAACTAATTTGAACTAAAAGAAACAGAAATCGGTTAGTATCTTCGTCTTCTTGAAAAGGGAGACGTAGCGAATGTAAATTAAAAACAGCTAACTTGTTTCTTTTACAGATGTCTATATATATATCTATAATAATTAGATTCATTTCTTTAATGCAAAGAACTAATCGGTTGAATATCGAGACCCATTTGTCCTTGGATTGAACTAGTATCGAGATGGTAAAGGTTTAAGTAATTTTAGGAGACCAGTCAGAACAATCGGAATTTACTAATTCGCTTTTAACCAGAGTTGCGAAATGAAAGAAACTATCTAACACTTTCTGTCTAAATTGGTTTAATCAAATTAACTCATTCTCTTATAGAAAACAAGCTACTAACCAATCTGATATATTGATACATATATATTAAAAGAATAATTTTGTTTATCATATGTTGCATATATCTTATTTTGTGTCTGTCAACTACTAATAGAACTCAACAATGGTAACCTTGATGTGGCTTGAATTACTATTTGAAAGAACTATAACCTTATGTTATGCTATACATATCTACAATAATTAATTTATTGTTATAACTATTACCTTTATCGTTTAATAAATTAAATTAATCTATTCTATTGAAGTAATTAGTTTAAATGTAAATTCTTAACTGATTTTCAAAGATATATCCTATGAAATTGTATTTAATTCAGCAAAATTATAAATATATCAAGTACCGTCGGCAATTGCCATTTTCAAAATTATTTTTTTTATTAGACTTAAATTGTTGATTACATATATATACCTTGTAAAAGACGATTTTCGGCATCTGTAAAACTCAACACCCACGCATCACCTTCCATTGCTGAGTTTTTACCCTGCAATGCAATACACTCCTTCGATAGCATATCAAAACCTTCAGTCTTAACCTCTGCAACAATATTTGGATGCGGCCATGGTATGCCAGGCAACGGCCAATGCGATGCAGAACGCGGCCATAGACCGGCACATTTAAAGGCGGGAGTGATCTGTACAATAATACGTTCGCGTATGCGCAACTTAACTTCCGTTGTGTCTGCGATCATTTTAACGATATCACGATAGGCACATTTATCACACGCTTGCGCAACTAAAGTCTGAAAACGCGAACGTATTTTACGCGCTGACAGGTAACCCGAAGCGGTTATAAATTCCACCCACAACGACATCGAACGTTTACGACCGTCACTTAATTTAAGCACCGCACAACCAGGTAATGTGCCATCGTCAACGAAATTCAGTACGCCCATCTGATTAAGGTAAATTATGATTTCGAATTCAGTGGGCGAGATCACTTCAAGACCTTCGAAACGGCCATTGTAATCGTTAAGCGAGGATATGAAACGCGGTTCTTGGACTTCCACTTCTTTTAGCACATCCTGCACAATACGACAAACTTCTTGTATTTGTTTGTGTATCTGTGCTTTACGCGTTTGCACGCGATCCGCACAATATTTATTCATCTGATAAACCATTTTGGACTGTGCCGCTATCATATCCGACGGCACAAGCATTGCAATGTGAGGGAGTTTAAGATTTAATAAAAACCTTTTAATGCGTTTATGATTTTTGAAAAATTAAATACAAAATAAATTTGCAAGTGATTTTATATTAAATATTTAACTTTTTAATGTTAAAACAAAAATGGTTGAGGACTTAAAAGCAGCAATTGTTTATTTTTCACTAATTTAAATAATTTTTTTATTATATATCATAATAATTTTTTTTTTTTTTTATTTTAACACTCAAAACCTGCACTTTCTTTTAACTGAATTTTATTTTCTTTTATTATTTGTTTGTTTTTAAAATTTTTTAATATTATCTTTGCTTTCGAACGTCTCTTCGCACTCACAACAAACTAGCCCCAAAACGTACACGCGCCGGCAAAGCTAAATTGTTGACTGATTTCGTATGTCAAACTCACCGCAAGAAAAGTATCTTTGCTTTGCGTTTCGCCCAACTCAAGATTCTTTTGCTATTATATAGCTATCTCTGTTCCACATACTGTTTGTAGTTTACACCTTTGTGCCACTTTGCTGTGCGGTTGAAAGAGAGCACAGTAGTGGTGTGTGCTACCCGGTTTGTATCTATGAGAGCAAGCACAACTACATTGTCGTATTTCGCAATGGCAGAGACGGCAGTCTTTATTTCTTTGCGTCATAGTTGTTTTTGTGGTGTGTACAGATACTCTTGTGTGAGCTTAATTCCATATACATCCATAAGTACTTATAGTGGTATATATATTTATATACAAATATATGAATTTATATATATATATTTTCATATTTCAATTATAATATACTGATTAAAACTGACCATAGTAGGGGAAGTATCACTTAATACTGCCTCTTGATTTTCACAAAATGACTTAAATATTGATTCTGTATTTTTTTAGTTAATGTAACTCAAGTTAAAAAGGGACTCTAATATAAATTTTTCCATAGGATCCTGATCTGAGGCTGGCGACCTCTTATCAGTTATAAAATTTATTGCCACGAATTCAACGATACTGCCTCGGAGAAGAACACCCCTGAGATATCGACCTACGTAACGTATAAAGGACAACGATTTTAAATTAGCAACATGGAATTATTTTGACTCTGCTTCAACCAGGTGCCAGAGGGGAGTAGAAAAGAGGACGACCGCGACGTAGTTGGTTACAAGATGTAGAAGACAACATACAAACGATGAAAATAACACAACACAGAAAGAAATCGAAATGCATAGAAAAATGGAGACGTTTTGTAGAGGAGGCAATGGTCCATCCTGGACTGTGATGCCAAAATGATGATGAACACAAATTTTTAATTTGAGGCTATGTCTATTATTTTATGAAATATCATAAGTTGTCTTCAAATGAATAAAGACAAAGAGCCTGGAACTAACTAGTCAATATAAAGGCTGTGGTGGAAGGTGCTTTTAAAATTAAATTAAATTCCATTGCATTAATAACTACTACTGAATGACATTACACTTAATATATATGTACATATATATAAATATTTGATATTTAACCAAATAATTCGTAAGTCACTTCTATATGGTTGTATAGCGTTTAACAAAGCTTCAAACACAACTATTCACCAGCTAGAAATTGCACAAAGCCAGGCTCTGAGAAGACTTTTCAAAGTTCCATGGTACATTAGAATGAATGACATCCTCAAGGACATCAAGATTGATCCCATCAAAAAATACATATCGGATAGAGCCCTGTAATTATTTGCGAAAACTGACAGCGTTATCAAATCTCAGAAGGGTTACAGGTTCCTCGGAGAGGTATGCAGATCTGAGGTCAATTATTGCTTAGTCTGATGAAGTAATAAACATTAATCTAGTTAAGGTATAAAGAGGGGTTTTGATAATACCTCGAGTTAAAAAAGAGTACAAGTCTTAAGTGCACTAGCTCAAAACAGCTTCAACATAATTTTATATTATATATTTATACATATTATCTATCTCTGTGTATAGGATATAGCATTTATTTTGTTGATTTTACTGGTATAAATTTCAGTTGGCCTACAATATATCTTGAACTGTTTTTAAACCAAATTATTTTTACCTGCCATAGATAATTAGAAAGTTTCGAATATGCTCCAATGTGAGACATACGAAATAGACTAAAATAATAATTAATCTATAATCATATAAAATCAGAATGCATTAGAAGGAAAGCTCATTATTATAATTAAAATATTCGACACATTAAATATAACATATAATAACTTTTTCGAGCTCTAAGGTTCCAGTTTTAGACTTGTAATACTAAAGTGTGCGGCGCAAGAGTTCAGGACCACATTAATAATTTTCCATACATCAATTTCATTTGATTTCATTTCATTTCACAATATTAAACTTAAAAGACTTTGGACAAATACCGCTGCTTTTTGTCATCGAAGCTATTGATAAATACTATTAACGCCCTAATTTTAAGAAAAAAGATTGAAAAAAAAAGTTGATGGATTTATACGCACATCTAGAATTTATTGACAAACAAAATCAAAATTTATGTATCTACGTCTCAAAAAAACTCAATTAAATTTTTTTAAAGCTTCTAGTTTCCTGATATTCGGTACTAATAGGATACACATTATAATAACATAAATCTCTTTTGTCTGCATCGTGGTTTGTTAGTTGGTTGTAATGGTTGATAGCCAGATATTCTATTACCTTACATAATTTGGAAATTTTTACCTTTTTAATACCATATTACTCGCAAGAAATCCATGCAGATACACTTCCATTTGGGTTTATTTAGTTTTAGTAATCTTTTGTTCTTACCGATGTGTAGTCTGACAAACTGTCAAGAAATCATATTCATAAAAATCGGTTTCTTTTGTTAGACAAGACTGGGTATTTACAGAGAAGGTGTTAAACTGTATTGTCTACGTCCAAGTTTTTGCAACTTCTACAATAAGTATTGAATGGAAGTATTCAATGATTCTGTACAGTGTATACCAATGAATGCAATTAACATAGTAGCATGAGCTCGGTTTCTATTAATGAGTTCCCTGGACCCGACCTTATGTTGAAAAGCCGGGTCGACAAAATTATATTACATATTGTGAGTGTTTTCTTCCTATTATGTGTAAGTAGCAGAAAGTGAAGATAGGTAGATCCCTTAACGGTCTCTCGGGAAACACATATCTGCCTGGATCTCACTTAAAATTTTGTTTTTTTATGTAATGACATTGCAAAAGTAATTCTTTGTATATGTTTCATGGTTTAAGTACTGCAATACTTTCATGGTTTAAGTACTGTTAGGTCATTTATATTTACCTAAATTTCCGCATGGGAGACTATAAAAATGGAATAATTAACTCCTCAATTCTAGTTTAAATCAGTTATTTAACAGAAGAACTGTTTTATTTTTTGTGTAAATTTTTTTTTAAAACTAGAGAATCTTTTAGTTAAAGACTTTGTATCCTCTAAAAATATTTGCAAACTATTTTATTTACGAAAAACTTTGATCTTTATTTCAACTTTTTTCTAGGAGAACATCAGGCACTTGAAAGGGGGTAAGCCATTATAATTTTTATTTCAGCCTCTTTAGAAATATTGCTTAAAATAACGTTAGTTGTATTTAGTTTTATCCTTTCAATTGTTACTCTTCAGTGTTCACACAAGTTAGTTTGTGATGAGTTCTCATTAAAAATATGACCTTTTCATTAAAAGTGGATTAAGCATCATTGAGACAATGCAAGTTGTTCATATACTATATAACATCCAACATATATTTAATTTATAACAAATTAATTACCGCTAATCTCTACTTGAAAGATATATTTTGTACACAAAAAGTCTTAAAAATCATTACACCAAGTACGGTAAAATTCATTACTCTACCAGATGTTGGTACTTGATCAGTTTTCGATAATCGCAGAGCACAAACATATAAAATGGGTCTCTGTTCTGCTTAATCGTCTGTATGTTTCACTCTGGATTTCACAAAACCAGCTAATGTCTGCGTCTTTTAATAACATTATTGGAAAAATGTTGTTAACCAGATCATGTATATGTGAGAAATCCATGATGGATCTAAGTTTAGATCTAATTAGACTGAGAAATCTGTCAACAGATTAGCAGTGTCAACTTTTATAAACATTTATGTATTTTGTAAACAATTTATTGTAAATTCGATTTTTCTAAGAACATATCACCATGCCGTCATAAGACTTAGGATCTATCAAGGCAACTATAACACTATCCTTTGCAGGTTCTTCAGTTGTTCTTGTACCGTTGAATCCTTTATGAATAGGTATCTAGAGAAATATTAGTTTGTACGTAGTAACTAACCTACATATGAGATTCTTACAGTATCGGATCAAAAGTATATAAATAGATGTAATATAGATTGTGTACAAAAGTGCTTTACTGTATATCTCGTTACTCTTGATTGAATATAAATTAGCCTCAATGTATATTCGGTAATAAAATATCTCAGTAAATGTCTACTTTTTCAGAAAAATCTATAACAGTTCAAAGCAATAGATTTAATTTCTATGCTTTAATATTAAAAAGAATACTATTGATAATATTCTCTCTAATTTTACGTATAAGTACCGCCCAATTTCCCTATGAGATACCATAATAAGCGAAGAGAATATTAAAAATATACTCACAACTACTAATTCAAAATAATCACATAGATAATCACCAACACTAATACATGATACAAACATTAATGCCAATAAGAAAAGAGCAGATAAGTGGACGTCACACACTCGCATATACCGGTACGTCACAAACGGTAGCCAAACTAACCACAGATATGTGTACGAAAATAGCAACTGAAAGCAACAAAAACAAAACAAAACAAAAGAAAGCAAAAATGGTAGGCAGCGCCCGGCCGGCACTAGCAGTGTTGAATTTGTTTACACAGCAGAGAGCGCGAACGAATGTTATGCTTGTCCACCCCATTTTAACGAGTTGCCTTTGCAACATACAAAACATTTCCTCTCTCTCTGTGTGTGTTTGGTTAAATTTTCCCCCATTAGCAATTGCTTAAGCTACTGCGGCTTGTTTAATGTGTGTATGTCGGCAGTTTGCGCTATAAAAATGGTGTTGCTGCCTTTTGCTTTAACAAGGCTTTTAGGGTTTTAGGTTTTATTGAAGTTTCTGTTTGTTTATGTAAGTAATGGTTATTATTAATTATTTTTTGTTTTTGTTTTTGTTTTTGATTTTCTTTAGTTTTTTACCTCCACATCAGATTACAAGGGGTTCACATATATGTTGTGTATTTTGGGTTGCTTAAATGTGATTAATGAGATTTAGTCACGCATTATCAACACGGATAATGTTTAAATGAACATTCAAGTTTGGTGGAGATATTACATATTTATAAATACATAGTGTTTATTTATTTATATAAATATATATTTATGTATGCTTTATATTTAT